ATTGTCCATAATATTGGAGTCTAGTGATGGACCTTGAGAAGAGGGTGAATCACCATCTTCATAAGAAACAGAGGAATTACCCCATTGCTCAAATAGGAATTAATCATGTACTCACATCTGATAACAGGAATGCCACTATTTAAGGCTAGTACTGACATTGTGACATGACATTCTGGGAATGAATTCTGGGAATAAAAGATCATCTTCTAGTTGCCAAGGCTGAGAAATGCTTTAAGTCAAAATTAATGTTTATAAATCAGAATGGTTGCAAACATGCAAAAGAAACAAATCACAATATGGCTCTGCGTGATTTGAACCCTAATCCTTTTTTCTTCAGGGCCCCAAATTTAGTCACTGAAAGTAGGCCTGGAAAAACTTCCCTTGAAACACTGCTAGGCAGCGTCAGTGGTATCAAACTACAGCAAGCAGTGGTTAGACTCAGTATAATGTACATGTGTTTGTACAATTCATATGATCTTTGTTTACTTTTTCAGATTCAGAAGCATCAAATGTTAAGGAGGCCAACTTATTTACCAGCCTGGGAAAACCTGCATGCTTTCTGTCAGTAAGGAATAGGCCTTAACTTTAGAATCTGTTTTAAAGCAGGCAGTTAATATGATGGCATTATAAAGACTTTCCCATATAGTAACAGCTGCCATGATTTGGCTCATGAGTCTATTTGGGAAGGATAGAATTATGAAATTGGAGTCTCTGAATGTGGCATGATCAGAAAGCTAGAGCAATTACTGCACTTTCCTATTTTTGGATTTTAGCCATTTAAGGTTCAAGGCGAGGGAAATTATGCGATCATCTCTCAAATTAAAAAACATTTTTAAAAATTAAAGGACAACTTATGCTAACATTTTTTTAAAAAAAAATAGTGACTTAAAACTATGCTTGCTGTTGTTGCTTTCCAGGGCATATTTCTGCAATTGAAATATGTCAATATATTGCATTCCTTCTAAATTTTGCTGTATCAGGGCTTGCCAGAATAAAATCCTTGTAACAATATTACCTGTCAGTATGAGAATCATGTGGAAAATATCAAAAAAAGTTGAAGCAAAAGCCAAGCAATATGCTCCCTTGCTTGTGGAAAGTTTGCAACTGAAGCTTATGTAATATTTGAAGAAAATGCAAGGGGGAAAGTTTTTTAATCTGTGTTCCAAACTCTCTTACTGAAACTTTTAAATAGCGCTAGATAACACAAATAGGAGAAACAGTAGATATGCTACTGAACAATGTGCCCCCTTGTGGCATTAGATAGAAAGATGACAATGTAGGGAACAGCATATTTTGCTGATGTTTACAGTATGTTGAATTATAAGATATGTTTTTCCTTTATTTTTCTTTTTGATATAATATGGACATTAACCATATTTTGGTCCTAGATGAAACCCAGTTCTTTTTAATGATAGAAAAAATGCCAAGTTGTTTTTTGTTTTGTTTTGTTTAAAAGAAAAGTTCTGTTTTGTCACAAATAGACTAGAAGAATTATAAGTAAAAAAGTCCATTTCTCATACACCCAGAATAAGTAGGTATTGGTATGAACTTCACATTTTATATGAACTTTACATTTTATATTACTTAGATTTGTATCATGCAGTTCTGATATTATCAGTTTGATATGCTTTTTCCTATTTTTTTCCTTATGATTTCCTCCCTCCCAAATACGAAGAGCTTAGCTTTTTTCACAGCATGTGCAGATGCAGTTGATAAGCTACCCTTCACACTCCCCAACTGAAGTTTATTTTAAGTCTATGTTAATTCCAGATACGTATTTTATTCAGATTGATAGACTTCGGAGGAAATTAATGTGTCAAGATAGGTCACCAAGGATTTCATTGGTTAAATTGAGACCAGTTGCAATGTGCTGGGGTTTTGTGATCATCATTTGTGACCTTCCCAGCTGGCTTCTGACAAGCAAAGTCAATGGGGTAAACCAGATTCACTTAACAATTACAATGATTGACTCAACTCTGGCAAAAAAAAAAAGTCATAAAATTGGATTCAACTCACTTAACTACTTCGATTTAGCAATAGAAATGCTATTCTCAATTGTGATCATAGGTTGAAAATCTTTTGTACTGTCCAGAAGATTCCTTCTGAGCATTATCTTCACCTGAAAAATCATGAAAGTATATTCAAAAGTATATAGTTATATCATTTCTTTTTTGGCTCTCAGCCTCATAAAGCCTACCGACAATTTCCAGAGATTAGATTTTTTTTAAGCCCAAAATCTAGGGAAAATAAAAATGAATCTTGATAAATACAGCAACAAAAATTCAAATCTTGAAGTATAATGATCTACACTAAACAATTTTTTGTGATGGCAAGTAAAAAAACCTTTTTAGTTGGCCAGTTCAATTTCCCCGCTTGTAGAATAACTTTTTTTTCTTTTTACGAACCTGTTATCCCTTAATTTGGGGTAGCGTTGGCTGATTAAATGGAGTTGAGTGTTTATTGGCTGGATGTCCTTCCTGACACCTATGTGGAATTCACAGCAGATATTTTCTCTTTGTGTCCTGATAAAGAAATATCTGTTGCTACCTAAAATTGAACTCTCAACCTTCCTAATGGGAGATAAGCATCTTCATCTCAAGGTCACCATGGTAACTGTCTTGTAGAATAACTTTAAATAATATAAAATACTGTCATTCATTGGGGGTCTGAGAAACCTCACTATGATAGGCTTGAGTTTTTATATTGAATAGTAACAAAAACCAATAAGATGAGTAGTTTCAATATCTAACTGCTGCAATTTAAAACACAGTGAATGCCACTAAAGATTGGTTTTGCTTGCATTGTAGGGAATACTAAAACAAGTCTGTAGATTATTCCTATACAGCAGTCCTGTTTATGAATCTTTTAATTTAATTTCTTCTACAAAACTTTTATACTGCAGAGGAGATTACTGTTCTGTTGCACAATTCAGTCAGCTAATCTGATACTATCATGTAAAATTCTCTGATAGGAAACAGAATTTATGCTTTTTACAAAGATGGCAAATTGTTGAGATTCTGAGGCACTCTGACAGTCAGTTTGTATTCACTATTTGTTTTCTATAGGCAGAACAACACCCATGTCATCCCAAAAGTTTTATCCATAGAACATCCCTCTAGAAGTTTGGAAGTACAGATGCTGTTTGGCAAACCTGAAACAAGCATCAGTGTTTTTGTTTGTTTGTTTGTTTTGGTGAACAATGGTTTCTGCCTTGCTATTTTCCTATGTATCACATTTTTACATGGTGTGTTTTGATGTGGAGTGGTGAAAATTGACTAGCTGCAAATGTAGATCTCTGGTTAATGTCCTGTAATTCTCATCAATTTTATGCATTGCTCTGACTGATTTTGACAGCATGACTATTCTTGGAAATATTCACTGTGTTCTGAAATCTTATTCATTTAAAAAAATTGTCTGAGGAGCAATGACTCACAAAATTTCATAAATGATTCTGCAACTTTTATCAAACTGACAGGTAGCAATGCCTTTTTCTGACAAAGGTCTTTAGAAAATTTGAGAATAGAATGACCCAGATCTAGAATTTGCATAGTAAGAATTCTTAAGGACAAAGAAAGCCAAAATGTGTAAGATTATATGGAATAGGACTATCTCAAATCATCTGTCATTATTTAATGAAGTATTCGCACCTCTGGCCCTTGTTAACTGAACTGTTACAAATAGGAAATCACTTCTTTTTCACATTGAACATGACATATTAGATACTCGTTATAAACAAACTAAAAAGAGACAAACTTTGTTATTTGTTCATTAAGACTATACATATTTTCATAAATGCACACAAACGTATAAAATAAGAGATATTGAAAACAGGGATACCAATACCACAATACCACTGTATATAAATCATAGCGCAGCAATAATGCACAAAATCTGGTATATTATATTTGGGTCTGGCCAAATACTTCAGAAAGAATATCGTGGAGCTAGAAAGGTTTCAGAGATGGGCGACTAAGATGATCAAGGGGCTGGGGCAGTATGCTTAGGAAGCAAGATTTATGGCTTTTTAATCTAGAAAGCCTGGTTTGAGCCAGTTTCATGTCGTAGTTAAGGCATCAGCATAGAAACTGAGAAACCATGAGTTCTAGTCCTACCATGGGTACAAAGTCAGATGCGTAACCTTGGGTCAATCACTTTCTTTCAGCCATAGGAAGGAGACAATGGAAAATCACTTCTGAAAAATCCAGACAGGTTTCTAGAGTTGGACCTGACTGAATGGAAGAAATAGAAATCTAGAAAGAAGGTAAATGAGGCACCATACAGTACATGAGTTTGATGTATAAAATTATACACAAGGTGGATAAAGGCAGGGGTGGGCTGCTGGGGATTTGCAGGGGTTCAGGAGAGCCCCTAGCTATGATTCTATGCAGTTTGGAGAACCCCCTAATCCCACTCCTGTCTGGCCCTAATCCCACTCCTGTCTGTCTCCCTCCCAGGAGTCCCCATGCAGACCATTTTGGATGCAGGTAAGTGCAGGCTGTGCACGGAGGCTCGGAGAGGGCAAAAAAAAAGGCTCCTGGAAGTTCGGGAAGGCCCATTTCTGGCTTCCAGAGAGCCTCCGGAGTCCAGGGAGGCCGTTTTCACCCTCCCGGAGACTCGAGGAAAGCCCAGGGAGAGCAAAAACACACACACCCCGCCATGGTACAGGAGGCTGACTAGGCCACAACCACCATGGCCACACCCACCCAGCAACCGGGCAGAGAACCCTTTGCTAAAAGTTTTGAAGCCCATCCCTGGATAAAGGTTATTTTCCACTTCCCAAAATAGTGGAATGAGACATCACCTAATGAAATTAAAAGATCAAAGAATGAAGACAGACAAAAATAAATATATATTTTACACAGTACTTAACTAAACTTAACTGAAAATTGCTTCCATGAGATCTGATGATGGCTATTTCTTGTCTAGATTCAAAGAAGAGTTAGACTAATGTATAGAAGTCATTGGGATAAATGACTATTAGTTCTTGATGGCAACATGACTGCCTTTGAAGGCTACCTGCTGGGAAATTAGGGTGCTTTGTTTTGCAGTTGGTTGGCCACCGTGAGAACAGATTGCTAGCATAGAAGTGCTGGGGAGCCATTGGAACACTTCTTATAAAAACACCCTCTTACAAAGACAAACAAACAGCAGGAGATTAATTCTTAGAGAACTACTATTTTCCAGCTTTGGCAAACATATCAACAGCACATGCTGCTCCTAATAGTTATTGAGATGAATGTCTGGATTCCATGCTTTTTTTTTTCCCAAAGATTCTTTTCCTGTTTTCTGTCAGCCATTTCTCATTTAGAACATCTTTTTGATTTAACTTTTGTTGGCTAGAAGTATTTTCAATGATGATCATATACCAATGAGTAAACCAGCTTACTGGTTTAGTTGTCTCTTATCCAGAGGTCAAGATTAAATTTCACTTGATGGATGCTTCAGGAAGACACTCATATCTGTGAGACAGAAACAGCTCCTTGTATTTCTGTGCTTTTTGTGGGGAACTGATGAATTTTCCTGAACATTTTTTTGCCTGGCTTTTGAGGTGTATAATAAAAATCATGTTATTTTTACTTCCACATTACCACTGAAAGTCATATTAAATTCTTCTTTTTACTCTATCAGATGCGGATTGCCTGAATAATGTTCAAAGAAACATAATTTCCCACTTGATATCTATTAGTCTCATATCTGCATTTTATGGTCTCTATCAGTTGCTGCCACAATAACCAGGCTGGCAAAAAGGGGGTCTTAACAGTCTTGTTACCCTTTATGTTCCCTGCCCTATCTCAAATCCAAATGGATTTTTACATGTTGTCTTCTATGTGCATATACCTGGATACCCTAAGCATTACAGAGAGATGTCTTCAGTATGATGATGACGTTTTATTGTAATTTTTTCTTAAGTTTCAAATGAACCTACTGTCAACCCTGAATCTAACCTGGGTGAAGCTATCTTGGAGCTTCAGTGTTGCCACCTACCTTTCTGTACCATGGGACCATTATTCCATAAGCTTTTGTTTGAAGTTAGAGGATAGATTTTTATCTACTACATGATAACCTTTCAGGTATATTTTTAAAAAGTGATCATATTTCTTTTTAGTTATAATTTTTCAGAAGAAATATACTGGCTTGCTTTAGGCTTAGTTGTCAGTCCCTAATCAACCTCCTTCCTGCATCTGTTTCAACTTCTGTTTCAACATCATAATTTAAAAATTATTATCAGTCAGACCATATTTTCTTTTCAATGCTTTCCCATGCATTTTGAGCTGCTTTTCTCAACAGTTTCTCCTACCAGAAACATCTACTTTTTTGCCCTCCAAGAGTTTGATTGCACTATTCTTAATTTACCCTAATATGCCAAATATTTGGAAGAATTCCAAAGTCCCCATTGCTTCCAATTTGTCAAGAAAATATTTCTTTTTAGGTAGACTCTACTTAAAGACGATCTTTCTTCATCATTTCTAGAAGAGAGCCAGTTTGGTCTAGTGGTTAAGGCGTCAGGTTACAAATCCAGAGGGCATGAGTTTTAGATCTGCTTTGGTTATGAAAGCCAGCTGGGTGACTTTGGGCCAATCACTCTTTCTCTCAGCCCAACAGACCACACAGGTATTATTGTGGGAAAAATAGGAGGAAGGTGTTTTGGATATATTTGCTGCCTTGAGTTGTTTGTAAAAATAATAAAGGCAAGACATAAATATAATAAAGATACCTGTTCTGCTTATTACTGTCTGGATGACATAAAGCAGACAGAGTTAACTCCACAAAGCATCCACACAAAGTCTTTTTTATTGGTTCATCATGCATCCTTAACAACTCACATTTATGATGAGGTTCTTCTTAATGTCCAATCCTTTGCATATCTGCATTATGGTGTAGAAAGATAATAACGTCTCATCCCTATGATGATTAAAGCAGCCGCATGGTATGGTGGATTCAGGCAAGAGTGAGGGAGCCTCCCCCAACCCAACAAGGGTCAATTTAGTGACCAATCCGGATTACAGACATGACCACATGACATGGACTACATTTCCCAGGATTCCTTTACTACATTTACCATGATGCATTCCCTTAAGGGGCCAGCTCACAATTCCTAACTAACTATCCCAAATCCCATTAACTCTAAACTGTCTGGACAGCACAATACCAGAATTTTTTTTTGAAAGAGCTTGTTCCCTGGAACAGCTGGAATAGTTAAAGTCTCCCATTGCTACTACCTCATTTGTCTTTGAAAAATCCGCAATAGCACAATTTAAGTTTCCTTCCTTTCTTTTTTCCTTCCTTTCTTCCTTCCCTCCCTCCTTGTCTCTCTTCCATAGAAGAAAAAATTATCCTAAGATTGTTCATATAAATAAGTCTAACTATTTTCAATCCAATATTTTATGTAATATTATAAATGGTGTGAGAATACACCCATTAAACTACACCTAATGTCCCCCTGGGAGAGAAAAATGTTTTGGGACCAGCAGCGACATACTCTAATCCAGATTATTTATATTAGAATAAAAAGCAACATGCTTAAATTTTTACTCATGTAGAAAAGGTACATGGAAACTTCTATATAGGGTTCAGATGCCAGCTGCTGTTTTATGTAAGATTGAAAGTTTTTATTTTTATTTTATTTTATTTGGTTTGTTAATTGCTTACAAGATAATAGGTATAAGTAAGAACATAGTTATGAATACATGGATACATATAAGAAAAATAAATAACTTCTCTGATAAAATAAAATAAATTTTAAATATTTTAAATAAAATAAAATAACTTCTCTGATAGAGGGGAGGGAGTGTTCGAACACATTGTAAAACATATAAATGATAAATATGCAAGATTAAAAAAAGACAATAGATTTCCAATGAGTTCATAAACCTTTCAACTACTCTACATGGCAAATCCCAAAAATTTTACAGTGGCAAAATCTACCTACAATACATGTAGTAAGCATTTTTAGTAGTCTAAACTGAAGAATTTTTTTTAAAAAAATTAGTTTTTAATTTTGCAGCCATCCTCTGATCTAGACAGATAATCCTTTTGAGAGCTATTCCTTCTGATGGGTTCATCATATTTCCATTCCTATGTTCTGCTTTATAATTGTAATTTCTTCCTTGTTAGGATGATGTGATAACTTTAGTGGATGCAGACCACTTAGACAGTAGCCTTGAGGAAATGAGTTTGTTTTACTGCCTTGTCTTATTTATCTTTGTTGCAAATTACCCAATGCTTTGTTTATGTAGTTAGAAGTGAATTCTTCTTTTTGAGCTTTAATTGATGCCCATCTAATGCAATTCCTCCCCACCCCCCCCAAAAACAACAGCTTCACACAAGTGACTCTGTCTTTGGCTTCAGATCCCTAGGGCTGTGAGAGTCTACTGCATAAAAATGGAGTGACTAAATATATCACACAATATGAAAAGGTTTGTCTTACACTCAAAAACTCTGGTAAAGCTGTTTTCCAGCAGGGCAATTTTGTTTATTTTCTGACTGTGGGAACACAGCACTGTAGTAGTTTTGCAGAATGTATTTAAAAGTATTTAATTGTTTTATACCCCAGCATATCAGGCAGAATTCTAATCTCACATTCAGTATTCAAACCCACTAATTCAAAACCACTAATCATATTGCATAATTAGCAAAAGAGACTGAAGAAGTAAAGACAAGCTAATAAAATAATTAATATTAGTACAGAAAGGAGAAATAGTTATAGTAAACTCAATAACAAATAAAGCTCTGCTGACATACTACTTAGACAGTTTAAAAAAATACCTGCACAAGCCTATAAGATGGCTATAAATGACCTTGCAATTCATATCCAGAATGTATTTAAGCAGGAAGTAAAACATTTTCCCAGTGGATGAAATAACATTGACTTTTGCCAATCTAAGCAAGGCTGATTTAAATTTTACATGTGGGTCCAAAGGCTTGTTCTCCCTCAATTTAATAACTTGCAAAGCTGGACACATTTCAAATGAAAGGGAATGCATAGTTCTTAAGCCCGGCACTGAATGTAGCTGCCGTGCATGTAAACAAGTAAACCATTATGTTTCTTATTGAGATAGAGAATACAATGATAAGTGGGGACTTTTATAAAACAAAGGGCTTCCTATTGCGAGTGTGGATAATCTTCCAGAAAACCCTGTGTTTTGGCAAATCACATCAGATTAATCTCTTAGGCATCTCCTTCCATTATCAAATTTCCGCTGGCTATCACAGTGGCAGCCTTATCAGGCACCCTCTTTTCAATAGCAAGTCCATTCCTAAGATTTCAGGTGCTAGCCTTCCATACTCCCCAAACAGGTGTCTCTACTGTTTTCAGGAAGGAAAGGTCCCTGCCGAGAAGCCTGGGAAAGGGCAGGGGTATCACTCACTGTTCTACCTGAAGGAACAGGTAACAGGAAACTGTTGATTCAGTGAATTGAACTTAATTGGCACACATTACTCAGCAGTAAGTGTTTTTGTGAATTAAAATCCCTTCAAAAATGTCCTGCAAATGCCTTTTCTTAAAAAAAGAAAAGGGGGGCGGGAAGAAGGGTAAAGGAAGGAAATCTTAAACAAGGGCTGTTATTCTTACAGTGGTATTTTTCCCAGATATATAATAATGATGCACTGAAAATATGACTGATGGAAGACATCATAGGTTACCTTGGTAGTATGAAGGATACAAGGCAGGTTGTTGAGTTGCAGAAAAAAGGTGGTTGATATTCCAATCAAACATACATGGTGCTCTCAGCAGCTGCAAAGTGTGTCTTTTTCACATTTCAGCATCCCTGAATGAAATTAATGAAATTGGGCCAATCAGTCTGTCTGTAGAATGATCTAAAATGATGAAGAAAGACAAAATAGATTTCCAAAAAGTGAAACAAGGGGAAATACAGGATGATTTGCTGGATTTAAAACAGCTCTTGTATTCAGTTCTTCTTCATCCATGTGATTATGCAAATCACATCTGACTGGGTGAACCAATCACTGTTTCTTGGCCTAACTGACCTTGTTGTGAGGAAATGTGCAGACAGGGAAAAAAAATCCATTTATTTAGCTTGATGTGAAGTAGTGCGAATACCAGGCCCCATCTCCCCTTCACCCCCTTTTCTGCCTGTTCCTTTCCAAAAGACTTTTACTTATGGCCCTGAATACGGCTTCTGAAAAATTGACATATACTTGAGTGTAATAAAACAAAGGTATTTGAAGACAACTGGAGTAGCTAGTCTGCTTTCAGTTCTCACTTTGACAGCAGGAGTACAAAAACACAAAGATGGGTCCCCAGTTATGCTTCATGGGTAGGAAACATTTGATAAACTCAGGCCTTGGCTTCCGGTGCTCCACAGCAAAAGCTTTGTTTCATCTCTGAATGATTAAATGCTCTACAGAGCAATTATGAACTGGAGGAAGGAACAGCCAACTCGCTCCAGGTTTCCTCAATCAGCCTGATTGAATTTCTCAAAGGACACTATCAGCAGTCCTCTCAGTGACTTCTCCTGGAAAAGGTTGTACCTTGGAAGTGTGCTTTTCTTTAACTGCTTGATATTTCATCTCATTATGCCCAAATGCATGACTTAGAAGAATTATACTTTCTATAAACTTCCAAAACGTTAGATTACGTCCAGTTAGATTCAAATGACCAGCTTGAATATAGCCTCTCAGATATCATACTGAAATGTTCTGAGAACACTTAATACTTTTGAAAAATACAGTACATGAATATAGATAAGATATCGAGATTTTGTATCACTTATTTCTTAGTTTAAATTAAATAAAGTAGATATTATGAAACATGCAATTGTAAAATAGTTGCAAACTTACATGTGTTTACTGAGAAATACAATGGAAACTCTGGTCACAACCGTAATCCATTCCAGGACTTCGGTTGCAACTCGATTTGGTCGTGACTGGAAGCAAGACTGACTGCACATGCACAGACAAAAGAAAAGGCGCGGAAGGGGAAATCACCATGGCTGTGTTTGATCGCCACCCGAGGATGTGTTTGCAACCAGATGCAAAATTTTTCTGAAATTTTTGGTTGTCACCTGATTTGGTCATTGTCAGAAATGTTTGTGACCTGAGGTTCCACTGTATGTTGGTGTCTACTAGCACATCAGTACACGATTCTAGTTGTAATTAGTTTATATTTAATTGAATTGTTTTTAAAAAAATGCATATTATTAATTGCTGACTTGGGGCAGAGGATGTGTATTGATCTTTTGAATTATGCTTCCATAATTGTATTATTTTCAATTTATTGCTTGTATGATAAATTAAACATAATAGACTTTTTTTTTTACTGTGTGCTTTCATAGGCAGGGAAGTTTACAATGCTTTCTACCACAGAGTAATTCTAGCAACCTAAGATTGCTAGTTCAATTTGTTCATGCATGTGCACTATCCACAGTACACCACAGGGTGCACTACCTGGCTAGTAGCATTTAGCAGAATTTGGGTCATCCTGGCTTTCTTCTGTTGACTTTGTCTTATATCTGGGCAGGTCTAACTCCAGCTCCCACTTCTTCACTGAACGTTGCTCGCTTTTCTTGTATTGGTGTGGTACCTATTTATTTACTTGCATTTTTATATGCTTTTGAACTGCTTGGTAGGCATGACCTATCGGCAAATGATGGGAACTCACTCTACCATGTAGAGCTCAAACCACTGGAAAGCCAACCATCTCTGGGCCAACAAATTCAGCGTCTTCAAGCCACTGCCCCACCTCACCACCTCATAATAAACTATGAAAAATAATCTCAGAAACCACCAAAAGACTATTACAACCACATGGCATCACCATAGCACACAAACAAACTAAACCTTCAAAACAAAATCCAGAAGCAAATAGGAGTCATATACAACAGATTCAGTGTAAGGATAGCAACTGCCACTATGTACAGTGGGGGCAACAGAACAGAAGTGGTATTCAGCAGGTTCTGACTAGTT